GCATTGACAACGTCACTGAAAACTCCGTGTTGCTTCAGTGAGTCTGTTATGACATCCCTGCATGCGCTATCGGACGCCTTGCTTAAGTCGAGTGATGGGCAGGCACCGCCGTGGCGTTTAAGGGCCGAACACCGGCGCGCAGGCGAAAGCTGTTCTGAGCCTGGCTTGCACAGAGCTTGTCAACTGCATCGAAGTGTGCGTGCACCCTTCAGATGGCCTCATTGACTCACCTGCCGGAGCAATAAGCGAGTTGAGGCATGTGATCGAGGATCGGTCGAAGGTGGTACATGATGTGTTCTGCCAGTGCGCTGCCAATGCTTTGGCACAAGGGGGGCATGAGACCTATGGGTCTTAGGAAGTCCACCGGAGCCAAACCACATGGGCATCCGGAGGTCTCCCTGCAAGTGGGCCTTCGAGTCCGCAGCAAGGTGCTGTAGCAGCAGTGGGCCTAAGCGGGAGCTACAACACTGGCCGAGCAGATGCGCCAGGCTGCAACAAGGGCAGAGTGCACAGGGACTGCCTTTCAAACATTCAACTTGCAAGTGCTTCATGGAAAGTGTGCTCACCCAGGTCGGGGCTACCAGAAAGTGCCAAAAGGGGTAGAGTCTCTGGGCTTGAGGCAAAGGTGGCAAGGGTGTAGGCCACGATGGCCTACAGTGCCGCATGGCTGCCAAGAGCCTGGCCGTCAGGGCTGAGCAGTCGGATGGTGCTTTTGTTGCCTCTGAGCCTGCGGGCCACCAGGAACAATGCGCGTTGATCCCCGGTTTTGGCTGCTGCCTCCGCCTGGTAAAGTTGATCTTGTAGGAAGGCCCTTTTGATGGTTTTGCTCTGCCGTTTGAGGGCCTTGGAGGCTCGAAGGAAGGCCGCGTCGTGACGAAGCCTGTTTAAAGATGTTTCTGACCAACTGCAACAGGAGGCGCCAGAGCGCTTGAACAGTCAACGCGGGTGCCAGGTGTTGTGGGCGGAGGCTCGATAGTCCGGGTTTGCACTGATTCCGTGGCCCGCTTTGGGCTTGGAGGGAAAGACTCGGGCGCACGAGTGAGCGAAGGGCAGCAGCTGCGACCTGCCGGCAGATGGTTAGTGTGCCCATGTGCACCTACTGGAAGGTTCGGCAGTGGTGCTGTGCTTTTGGCTCCACGTCTGGCATCACCAAGGCGGACCAGAAGGTAATCTATTTGACTGGTAAGGGAAGGGGTGACATAAGTGTGGGAAGGCTTGGCATGCCAGGTGTTTGGCCGCAGTTAGATCGTGGTCCCTGAGAACGGAGTGTAGGGACTGTAGGGTGTGGAAATAGTTTTTCTGACTGCCGGGATGAGGTACAGCAGGGCCTACGCGCGGATGATCGGGCTTTAGGGTGGAGTTTATGTCTTAGGTCACCAGTCACCACCAGCATGGACGAGTCCGGGAACTGGTTTCTCCTCTGCGACGGAAACCCTCACCCCAGTAGCGGCGTGTAATATGAAGCAAGTCAAGGGTCTACAGGATCCGCTACCCCCGGCTTCAGGACCGGGGTGGCCCGTGTGCTTTTGTAGGTTTCTGACAACAAGGTGTTCGTGATTGGTTTGTCGTCCAGATGGCTGAAGGTTATGAGCTTTGAAGCGGCGTCGGGAGTTGTAACCTTATCCTAGGGGTGAACAGGTGGGACATGCGAGGCTGTCCTGTGGGACCATGACAATGCCGGCTGCTGCACGCCGTTGCTGTGGTCGGTGGAGTGCAGACAAGCCTACCCAAGAAGGGAGTCAGGTCAGGAGAATTAATTGGCGACGGGTGGCCTTTGAAGGCCGACACGTGTGACGCCCTCCCGGCTGCACCGAGCACGGGCGGAAGAGGCAGCTTCACTCTCGCGGCTCGCCAGCTCGACGACGTCCTCGAGCATGCGCTTGGCACCAGTTGGTCCATTGGAGCAAGCAAGTTCCTTCTAAGTACATCGGCACAGCTGCTTTGACGACTTTGCCTGCTGTATGTCGCTGGTACCAGCCCATCTTGCCTCCAATGCGCCTGGCAGAGCATATTGCCGGAGACGAAGGCCTCCTTTGCACAGTGCAAGTCATAGTCAAACAGCACCAAGCTGAAACTTGACCCTGAGTCTGAGGCTTCCTCGGAGGATTCCCCCCCTCAGACAAGGCTGTATCCGAGGCCGTTGCCCCTGCCGTTGGCGTTGTCACTGCCGTCGCCGCTGTCGCGGCCCACCTGGAGCTGGGCACGGGCGAGGTGTCGCCTGAATCTTGTCTGTCGCCTGGCGGTGGCGTTGGCGTTCCCATGCAGGCACCTGGGGACGGTGGTGGAATCCTTGGGGGGCCAGGACGCCTTGCACCATGCGCTGTCTTGTAGCAACCCGCACAGCAGGCACCCCATCAGCACGATCAGAAGAGGCAGCGGCAGGTCGCGTTGTGGAAGAGGTCGCATCTGTGACTTTGGTCCTGGGTCGCTTGCTGGCCCTCGACGGATCTTCATGGCTCATGTCTACCAGGTCCAAAACGCTCGGGCCAAGGGGCTTGGCGCATAAGCCCATCATCATTATCATCATCGTCATCATCGCCAGTATTGGACAACGACATCACGAAAGTACTGTAAATACCGAATAAAATGGATGCGCCCTTAAACGGTGTCTGAAAGAGGTGGTTGGTAGGGTGGGGCGCCTACTACTACTATTACTACTACTACTACTACTACTACTACTACTACTACTACTGCTACTACTACTGGCAGTAGCAGTCGTCGTCGAAGTAGTCGTAGCAGCAGCAGGGGTAGTAAGTAGTAGTGGCAGCAGCAACAGCAGCAGCAAGAGCAGCAGCACCACCACCACCAGCAACAGCAACAGCAGCAGCAGCAGCAGCAGCAGCAGCAGCAGCAGCAGCAGCAACAACTGCAGCAGCAGCAGCATTAGCAGCAGCAGCAGCAGCAGCAGCAGCAGCAGCAGCAGCCAGCGGCAGCATTGGCAGTAGCAGCAGGACTTCTGCATCACCATTACTGTTGTCGGATTGATAGACCGTAAGACTGTAAACTTCACTGCCCTTTGTTTTCAAGCTTCCCCCTTGCGTACTCCCGCGAAAAAGGATCGGCTTGTGCCGTTCTTCCAGCCGCACCCACAGAGTCTGCGTGTGCTCCGCAGCATGGCTGCAAAAGATGAGGTTGCAGCGCCCCAACAGCTGTTGGCAGCTATGGAAAGCTTGCGACGATTGAGACAACAGTTGGCAAGCCTGACTACAGATGAGCCCTTTGCTGATTTCTGGCGTTGTCGAAGGTTGCCCTTGCAGGAGTCTCCTGGCGAAGCTGGGCGCAGCCTGCCCCAGCTCGTCAGCAAGGAAGTGGAACGGAAAGATGAAACGACGGCACCCCAAACATGGAATCTGCACTCTGTGCAGAAGGTGGGTCGAGGGACTCATCGCACAGCTTTCGAAACAATCGAAGTTCCCGGGATGATGTCTGTCAATGTGCAGCACTCCATGCGCACACATCTGCGCTTCATAAAAAGGCTTGATCACTCCGACCCTGGAGTGACTGCGAAACTCTGAGACTTATTGTTCGAGCTACTTCAAGGACAGGACATCAGGGTCGGAGATTTGCTGGAAAGAATCCACACAAGTCCAGGGGCTTTGACCGGGACACTCAGCCTGTGAAGTCACGCTGGCATCCTGAACAAATCGGAGTTGTATGCGTGAGTTGAAACACAAGGAACTCTCTCACTCTGGCATCTCACCGAGTGGAGGCTCGGACATGGAGCCGGAGCGCATAAAGGGACGCAAGTCGTGCTTCGCCATGCTAGCATACCCTAGGTCCTAACATGGAGTCTTCGCATCTGAGGCTTCAGGACTTGCAAAAGACGTGGCTTCATGGTACGCCGGTTCGCCGCTCTGGTCCCAGTATGCGCTAATCCACACATCCATTTAAACGCTTGAGTTGGGTGACCGGGAAAATAAGCTCATGCTCTCAGCAGTTGCATAAGCAAGTGCCGACGGTCTGCAGCACCTCAGCCCAAATTGACGACGATTGCTGCAGTTTAGCAATGTTTAGTGGACAAGGTGGATCGGAAGCATGCTTGGATGTGGCTTTGCTGTTTTCTTACCCGTGATAATTTTTCCTTCTTTTCGACAGGGCGGCCAAGCAGCCGACTCATTTATGCCTTTTTGCTGTGGCCTTGCAACAAAAGGCCATCCCGGCTCATCCCTGCTTGGCAACTTCCAGGGTTCGCGGGAGTGCCTACCCGAACCTTGCCCCATGTAAAGCCGGCTACAATAGGTCAGACGCTCCGCACCAGCACTGTCAGGGCTCACGGGTGTGGCACACTCCCTTTACATCTCCGGGGCTGGTCTTCACTCCTTTGCGGATTGGCCAAAGATTTCGAAGGCATCCACACAAACTGTCAACAGCAAATTGCTGGATTCTACGACTTCCAAAAGGATTTAGTATCATAAGTACTAGTAGTAGTACACGTAGCAGCAGCAGCAGCCGCAGCAGCAGCAGCAGTGGCGGCAGC